TTTTTTTTTGTGATGGAATATGTTTTCATGGCTCTAATGGTGGAAGCTGAGGTAGTTTGAAAGTGTTGTATGTTAGTTTGAATTGTTAGTGACCAAGTGAAAAAATGAGGCCCTGTGGTTGTGTTCCCTCATGGAACAAAAACATACCAAGTTGAAATAAACCAATGGTTAGACAGCGGCTTGGCATTGTTTTTGAGGAGGTCACGGGTTCAAAACCCCCTGGCGCCAAAAAAAAAAATTATGCGGGTCATTTGATATACAGTTTCTGCGGGGGATAATTCATACAGTTTGGGGGTTAAACATACAGTTCAGGGGATAAAACATACAGTTTGGGGGTTTCAGACATTGGCTTTGTGGGATTAAAATCATGCAGTTTGGGGGCTAAACAAATCATACAGTTTGGGGGTTTAATATGTTAACTTTGTTGGATTTTGCGCAAGCATTTTGATATGCAATTCCTCGCTGATAAGTGGGACGTATGCAATGTAATTCATCATGCAATGCAATACTTGATGCAATATGAAGCTTATTATGCAATATGAAGCTTATTATGCAATATGGAGCTTATTATGCAATATAACTTGGTAGAATATTGCTACCCTGGCCCTGGCGAGTCCCTTGTAACCCATGTAAATTGTATTTTTATATGGGGATTATGAGCTAGGTATAGATAACAAAATTCAGGCATAATTTATCCATTCTATAGAGGATGTGGTAACTGTTACTGTATTTAGTTACCACTAATACTTGATGTATCAATCAAGGCAAATGCCCCATCCCTCAGTGTCATCTCTCAATAACCCATGTAAATTGTATTGTTATTTCTGGCTTATGACCTACATTTGATAACAGAATTCAGGGATAAGTTATGGTGGTCACAATTTATGTGAACCCAAGGGATTAACTATGGCACTTGCGGCTTATTAAGCTCAAAATATGTAAACCTTGAACAAACTTGGTTCTTGGAGCAAGTTCAACAATAGCCATTGTAGTTGATGTCCACCCACCCAACTCAAATATCCTGGAAAATCCATATGTCATCATCATCTGGTCTGAGTGTTATCCCTGGATTTAGTGTGGTGCATTGTCAGCTTGACTCAATTCAGCTACCTAGATATCTTCCTGTCACTCCAAGGGGATTTGGGGATGAATGACACTCAACAGTGCATGTTCAGCTGTTGGGTGGAGCATGTCATTGGTTTCTACCAAAGGTGTGACTTTATATACTGATTATCACCCATGTGTATGGGGTGAATACAGCTTATCACCCATGCTTATGGGGTGATCTGTCATGAGGGGTACATGCTGGGTTGTTGGAGGTCAAGAGAGTGTTAAGTTCTTCATGGCTTTACAAAGGGTCTGACTTTTTGCACACAAGAGTTCCCATATGTACACCAAAAAAGGTGTCCACTCCAAGAATGTTTGGAGTGCACTATCATGCACTGGTGTGCAATTTTGGAGTGCACACCAAAAGTGGGAAAAATTGATGATTTTGGGGTACATCGTTGTGCACTCCACAGAATCTGGAGTGCACTTTGATGCACTCCAGTGTTTTTACTGCCCAGGGATTTCTATCTAGGGGTTCATATATTAATGCTCACTCCACATTATTTGGAGTGCATGGAGCTTCACTCCAAAATATGGACCCCTGGGCTGATCATGATATCATAAATAATTCATGGTCTGTTTGATTAATGGCACTCAACAGGACAAGATATATTTTCCAATTTTTGAACACCATAAGGGCCCGCTCAACAGACAGAGAGAATTTTTATTTACTTTTTGGAATCCTCAATGACTGGGTTATAGACAGTCAGTCCATTCTTGTGTGGTATCCACCTGGGCATCCAAGGAAACACACCAACAATTTTTTGAGTGAAGCTCTGTGCACTCCAAATAATCTGGAGTGAGCAGGATTTGAACACCTGTAAATACTGGGGCCCTAAAAACACTGGAGTACATGCCCATGCACTCCAATATTCACAGGAGTGCAAATCTATGCACTCCAGAATCTTTGGAGTGCACAACCATGTCCTCTCCTCCAAAGTCATCAAGTTTTCCCCTTTTGGTGTGCACTCCAAGAAAATCTGGAGTGCACCATGGTGCACTCCACCAATCCTTGGAGTGCACACCTTTTTTGGTGTACCTAGGGGAAATACTTGGTGTGCAAAAAGGCAGACCCTTTACAAAACCAAAGAAAGGGACCATGTGTAAAATTAAGATTGGTATAGAAATGATACCCTTTCAAGAAGGTATTCTGGGAGTTACAGGAATTCCCTCACAGTTGGTCAAAAACTTGTTATCCAACATCAAATGCACCACAGGTTGTGTCCATAATAACATGCAGTCAGTAGTGGTTAGTGCCTCAATTGAACTGTGGTGATCAATACCCATATTGCACCCAACTCTGTCTTCTGTGAGCCCATTGATGATTTGCAGGCGTGCAATTGATAAATTGGATGTTGCCAAATACTGCTGTCATAAAGTGTTCCCCAAATCCACCTATGATTAAGTGGGCAGCCTGACCAGCCTCCACAAGGGTTGAGTGACCACTATACAGAATACTTTGTCATTTCATATCAAGAGGATCAATATGGGCCCCTTGTCCATGCAAGGGATTCTTCTGACCAGTCATTAGTCTTCATGATTTTTCTGATGCCTATTAATCTACTCTGTCTTTGCTTACAGGTCTACAGACAGCCCTTGATCCCAAGAGGGGATTGACAATCATGTCCAAGATGGCAATCAACTGAACTCATATTTAGATAGATAGGAATAAACTGCTGGGACCATAAAACAGTGTCCAGTGAGTGCCCCTTGCCTCATCTCAACTACCCCTGTTTGGGTGTTCTAAATTTTTGCAAATGCCAATTTCAGTTTTTTCTTCAAAGTGCCCATATTTGGTATTTGAGTGTTTTAATGTTTCAAATGTAAAAATTTTTGAATCTTGTGGAATTTTTGGATCAAAATCGAGATTTTTATGTACATATAGCTCACTGGTTCCCACATTTTTCACCTTTTGCCTGCCTGTTGCATTGGTAATATGTATTTAATTGCTATAAATGTATAATGCATACTATGCAAGTGCATATTACATGTGCATAAGGCCGCCATATTATGGCCTTCCTTGGTGTGCCAAATTTTGTGTTTGAAAGTTTCAAACTAATTTCAATAGTTCAAATGTCTCCAAATACCTCCTATCACTAAAGCAAGCAAGGCCGATCCCTCCTGAACAGTCATCAACTCCATCACATCAACTAACTCTGTTCACTGACGAACTTCAACCAATCAAACAAATTGGATTCCACCTGACCACTGGCTGATACCAATTCAATAATTACCTCGGATCCCTCAAAGAAAACTTAGTCAACATAATTACCTCGACTGCTCCCAATTCATTCCGACTATACTTCAAAGAGCTCCGGTATGTTCAGACCTAAAGATTATCACTTCAATGAATCAATCACATACAATACCACCGGAAAACTGATGAACTCCTGAACACTCATAGATTGCCACTATACTTCAACAAACTCCGATTCCTCAAGACCTTTGACTTTCTCATTACCTCGGATCCCTCAAAGAAAACTTAGTCAACATAATTACTTCGACTGCTCCCAATTCATTCCGACTATAATTCAAAGAGCTCCGGTATGTTCAGACCTAAAGATTATCACTTCAATGAATCAATCACACACAATACCACCGGAAAACTGATGAACTCCTGAACACTCATAGATTGCCACTATACTTCAACAAACTCCGATTCCTCAAGACCTTTGACTATCTCATTACCTCGGATCCCTCCAAGAGAACTTAGTCAACATAATTACCTCGACTGCTCCCAATTCATCCCGACTATACTTCAAAGAGCTCCGGTATGTTCAGACCTAAAGATTATCACTTCAATGAATCAATCACATACAATACCACCGGAAAACTGATGAACTCCTGAACACTCATAGATTGCCACTATACTTCAACAAACTCCGATTCCTCAAGACCTTTGACTATCTCATTACCTTGGATCCCTCAAAGAAAACTTAGTCAACATAATTACTTCGACTGCTCCCAATTCATTCCGACTATAATTCAAAGAGCTCCGGTATGTTCAGACCTAAAGATTATCACTTCAATGAATCAATCACACACAATACCACCGGAAAACTGATGAACTCCTGAACACTCATAGATTGCCACTATACTTCAACAAACTCCGATTCCTCAAGACCTTTGACTATCTCATCACCTCGGATCCCACAAAGAAAACTTAGTCAACATAATTACCTCGACTGCTGTCAATTCATTCCAACTATACTTCAAAGAGCTCCTAGATTTCGACTATTCTTCAAGACACTCTGATTCCTCAAGACCTTCGACAAAGCTGATCCCTCCTGAAAACCAATTAACTCCGTCACATCAACTACCTCTGGGAACTCAAGAACTTGCTTAAATCCATCAAATCTAAATTACGTCCTGACGACTCGCCATTTCCGACGCTTTAACTCCCTTTGATACCATCAAGGACAACTCAGTCATCTTCCTTCCACACCACATTGCCAATTTTCTGAATTCTGCCTCCTCCACCCGCTCATCATTTTGAAAGCGCAAATCCTCAAACCAATCAAACATAAATTTTGATACCTCTCAACACCTTCAACCAAATTGACTAATTCCCGAATATTGGCCCTTCCAGTGAGTCCAATTCATTCCAACCCCCCCCCCCCTGATGCTTCACTGATGAGTGACAGACTTTCTATTTGATCAAACCCCTTGCAGGTCCAGTCCGCAGTTCCAAACCCTTCGAAACCAAGCTCTGGATAGCCTTGCGACTCTGAATAATTGAACACTTTAAAGCAATACAAATCTGATCAAACCCTATATTACTGATTTTCAACCATCCAAAATCCAAGGTATATACTCCAAACAATCCTGTAAACATGTTCCTGTTATAAACCCTTGCTGATATTTATCTTTGTATTTTCTGTCCATATCTAGATATGAGGGGTTTTGAAGGAAACGGAGGCAAGAGGCCCAAGCGAGTCAAGAAACCCAAGACACCAAAGGGACAGGCATTTTCTGAACAGAACCATCGATCCAGTCAACAGTTCCGCAATCCTCATCACCATAACCCACCTTCAGATACTGGCCATCCAACCCACCGATTCCCAACCGAGGACCACAATGAAACAATTGGGAATCAAAATTTTGGTTCAATGGATGCAGAACCTGACGAGTTGCCTGAGGCTGCTGATGACCTTCAGGTTCAACAAATGATGGATTTTCTTGAAAGCCGCCAGTACAGGGAAAGGCGGGCCTTGGAGGAAAGAAACTGGGAGGAAGTCTACAATCAAATGTTCGTCTGGTTCTATCAATGTGCGGCCAAAACCTCGACATGGGGAGATCAAGCCAAGTGGGATCAAGACTGGAAACCAAGGTGTAACTGTGGTCCAACTCGTACACGGCTGGTGGTTCTTGTTGACATTCTCAGTTGAGTACCAAATAGCATGATTAATAACAGCTATTATTACTTACCACAATGTGCTTCAGGCCGAAAGGAGTCACCTGTCCAGTTTTGTGCATGCCAGCCAGACCCAGTGAGGCTTATACAGATGGGATACATTGGTTCATCTCCTAAGTTCCCCAGAACAGCAATCTCAATCCGCCTACTACAAATTCATCACTTGATATGGAAAAACTGTGCTGTGGCTATCCAACCCTTTTATAAAGCAATAGATGAGTTTCTTGATGCAGCCAATCCTTTAATTCTTGTACCTCATTCTGGAGGCACATCCAATCCCAACTTCAGTGTGAGTCATCCCCTCTGTCCAACTTCCCATTCTACTACCTTCAAATTCCAATTTGACTAACACAATGTCAATCTGTGTCCAGGTTCGTGACTGGCGGTGTAAGACTCAAAAGTGGTTATGAAACCCTTTTGCTGAATGGAGAAGGGGATGATGGAGTGGCAAGCTCTGCCCTTCTATGCTATCAGAACAACAAGACCACCAAGCTTAGCTTGGCAGTTGTATTTATCGTGATAGAGGATAGTTCAAGATGAAGCTTCCAATTGATGTGTATAAGGGTCTGAAGTTATAAATGAGTGATGATTATATTGATGAAGCTGTTGTTCAAAGCTTTAAAAACAAGGCGCGGAGCTCTGGGAGCGCTATGCTTCAACCAGTAATGGTATGTGAGGCAGGTTATGGGCACTTGGCACTTGTTATGATGATGAAAGTGTTATGTGTGTATTTCAATATAATGTATTGTTATGGCTGTCACTTGTATATAATCTGTAATGTGGGGTTGAGATGATCTGGTCCTCTGGTGGGATGATGGAGGGAACAACTGGCAGGCAGAGGCCTCCTTATATAGACAAATGTGAGGGATTTTAGCTAGTCTAGTACATGCAGGTGAGGGAATTTGGCTGGTGAGAGCACTTCCTTGAGGGAATTTGGCTAGCCTACAAGGTCCTACTACAAAGGAATGGATGTGCACCTACAAAGGAATTCAATATGTGCTATATGCCAAAAAAGGAATTCAATACAACACAAAGGAATTCAATATTCAATATGCATCCAGTATTCAAAACAAGCCATACTGAGAGTAAAGAATCCAAAAGATATCCCGTGACAGGTTGAAATCTGTGTAACTTCTAAACTATGAGAGATATGGGGTCAGTTGTAGTGGGTGACTAGGGGTAATTTTACCTGAGAAATCCATTTTCTGATGTTATTTTTACCATATATATAATATATAAAGAGATAATAATAAATTTTTATATTTTTCTGCGTAGAAACACAGTATTATTTACCACAGCGGCGAAGCTTATCATCCGCTGTGGATGCCTTTCGCGAAATGATCAGAAGGGAGAAGTTAGTGGCTGATGAGATCCTACAAAAGACATCCATGGAATCTCTGGCAGAAATGTGCCCCAAATGCTATGGACCCCCGGTCCAGGGAAAACGGGACGACGAGCCAGATTATATTGTCTGTATGGATGGGAACTTTCAGCATCAAAGGCATCTTGCTGCAAGTCATGAAAACCCAGAAGCACACAAGACTCCCCACCTGTTCATCAACCCACGCAAGGTCCAGCAGATGGCCCAATCTATGGAGTCACCCATGGGCCCAAATCAAATGGGATGATGAGACAGTGAGTCATTTTATGACTACTCATAAAGATTCACCTGACCAACATTGAATATTTACAAAACAGGACAGGTGTACGGAGCAACATACTGCTGCAAATGATCTTAGAAACCAAAGCACGTGGCGCCAGTGTGATGACACTGGAATCTTTGGCATGGCATGTCGTCATGATCAGATATTGGCTATGATAAATGTTGTCCAGAGTGGTGAAAAGTTAGTGTGGCTCATATTTTCCCCAAATAATCTTAAATTGGCCAACATCCTGACCCCATCATGTTACGTTCCTTTCATTGGCAAGGGCATACTTTCCAATGACTATGGTTCAATATATGATTGACAAGACACAAGAAGAAGGGCAAGAGAAAAAGAAATTAGGCTTCTTATATGATATTGGATGTCACATTGAGAAGGGGATAAATTGAGTAAGTCATTCCAAGAATTGCCAACCCACTCCTGGTATATTTATATTAGCTGATCAAATTTACCCAATTATTGAATCACAAGCGTCAACAATTTCCTGAAAAGCGGCAAGCCAACATGCTTAAATTTGGAACAAGCGTTTTCCATGCACATGTGCACCAGTGGGCTTGTCAACTTCAGTATAACCCCCGCTTAAATGAAGGCTGGGGAATGTCGGATGGCGAGGGATTGGAGCGCATCTGGTCCTTTCTCTCACCACTAATAAGTCAACTCCGCTACTCAACCAAGAACCACCGACTTTCTGCACTAGATCTCCGCTCTCAACATCACAATGAACATGGAAAGATATCAGCAAGTGGGTTTGAATCAAACCATATCTCATTCTAATATCCACCATACTGATATACTATTGTACAGTTCGATTGCTTTACGAAAGAGGGCAGCACATCCAGAAAATTAACCAAGAGGCATGTGATACGTTACAACAAGTAGAGCAAAGATCAGGTCACACCTTAGTCTACTTAAAAGGGCAGTGGGAACGTCAGAGGCAACAGCAACTGCAAGCCATGGATAATGGAACTGAGACAGAAATGATGAAGCAAGTAGAAGATCTTGTTGTCTTGGAGGACAAACTTTTTGAAGCGCAGTGAGCATTCCTCACATCTTTCAAATATATGAATCAGTCTCAAGAAGTAATTCCTCTGTTTTGTATTTTATCCAGACAGGAGATGCAAGAACTCCAGCGGACCAGAAGGAGGACCCATACTGTCGAACAAGGAATACAAATTGAACAATTGCCCAACACCCTAATCTCTTTGGAGAGCAAAATTGACCAACTAATTGGGGAGCTGGGTTCTGATTATTTTAGAAATCTCACCCCAAACACTACATGTGAGGACCAGATCTCCTTTGCACAACAAATGAAAGCAGTTGGTTGACATTTGCTATCAAAATTAACTAGACTCCCAAGCAAAAGCCTTGATCAAGTTAAAAATCACCAAGTCAAAGCTTTATGAAGCCAAAGTGGGTGTGATTGAGATGCAAAAGCGTTGGGATGCAAGGGGTTCTGGTACGTCAATGAACTGACCCAAGATAAGTTTGCCATTTTTGTCTATTTAACCTCAACCTGAATGATTGAATAAACAGGCACACGACTTCAAGCACAATTTAGAAGGCAAATGAGCGGAAAAATGAAGCATTTGAAGAATAAATGGGCTTCATACAACCACCGGGCCAATGATTACAACACAAAATTCACCCCAGAAATCTACCTACCCACTCCGACATTAGACGAGGTCAAGGCATATCAGATGGACCATGCCTTCTGGAGTATTGGGCTGCTTGATCACCCCCATGAGCCTTGGGCTGCAGACACAGACACACAACAGGGAATCCAAGCATACCTTCTACTCACGCACACTGAGGATGAATTACGACGAATCTCCAGAGAAGCAAGACAAGCAGTTGAATGGGCCATTCAGAAAGGGCAGAAGTTGCAATTGGTTTACCAGGTGTTTCAAATAGGTGAGGAAGTTTCATGATGGATTGTAAGCCTTTGCTGAAATTAAATTCTGCAATACCTGGTTTTAATAACTCCATTTAGGCACGCAGGAAAGTGAGGATATTGAACAAATACAGCAACACCTCAATCAAATCTCCCGCAACAGAGGACTTCCAACTATTACTTTGCAGTCAATTATAAGGCAGCATCTGAAGACCCATTGCCGAATGCAGATGTCTTGGCACTCTCACTGTGTTACACTACTGGAATGGAGTCAGAAGTGGATGAATCCTGAACACGATGATATTCAACTGGAGGAAAAATGGAATACAGTTATTTTGAATTCTCAAAGAATATGGGAAGAACTAACCGGACATCTCTTGACAATGCGGCTTGACACTACAGGAGAGCATGGGGAGGAGTAAATTTAACCTAGGGAGTGAATATATTCATTTTTTCTTTCCATTTCCATCCAAGAACTTATATATATCAGATTTTTTTATTTGAATATCAAACTATGTGTGAATTATCAGAACACATTAATCATGTTGCTATCCAGATCTAAAAGCCAAACACTTTGTACACATTCCGCTACTTCCCTTTCAAGGTTTTAAGTAAAAAAAATAGGGGGTCAGTTAAACCACTCCCAGAATCAAGCGGAATACCCCCATCATCTTTCAATGCATCCCTGTTGGGAGTTGTCCTGGAAAATTAATGAACAAATTTGCCAGTTGGCCATCAAGTTATTTTTAATTAATGAGTTTTAGAATTTTCAGGGAGTCAGCTACCCAAATGACTATTGATGCAGCTGTCCTCAATTCAATCCAGAGAGATAATCTCAAAAACAAAGTAATTTCTCAAGACTAGGCCCTTGAACACAAAAATACCTGTATATGAGATTTATTACAATTTTATGTCATTTCTAGCAAATATTTCTCGAGACACACATTAGTTTATAAGACCATGACTGATGTGAATCTTATTGGAAAAAGTAACCATAACTATCAATCCCTTACAAAAAGGAGTGTAGAAGCCTGAACCTCATCCAAAACTAACACTATTGCTTCCAAAATTAACACTATAGATGGGGGTATGTTGTAGAGATTCCAGGATCTGAAATTCTGTTTTACAAATTTTAAGATCCAGGTGAGGTGAGGTGGGATATGCTTTGTGAAGAGGGATACCTATGTAACAGGGGGCATGTTGGCTAAGTTGATGTACAATGAGCAGGTGAGGGGTTGATGACATGAGCCTGACCATCTGGATGGTAATATGTGTACCTGTACCAAGCAGAAATTTACAGTAAGAATTTTACAGGTTCAAGGAGCAGGATAAACAGACCTTCCAATGTATGGGGACCAGATGATCAATCTTTCAAAGGGGCACTGGTTCTTGCTGAGCTGGTTGTTTCAGGAGATGAGGAAGGAGCTTTAGATTTGATCAAATTTCCATCCCAATGAGATGGTTTGCACCAGAAGCAAGCAGTGGATCAGGATGAGCTGGTTCTGGCCATATTGGGATAGAAACTTTAGGAACAGTCATGGTTGCTACTGTAAGTAAAACAGGCTTGGGCTTGTGGTTCAGGGGACAGGTAGACCTAAGAGTGTAATGCAGAAAACATGATGAAGAAGAAAGGACACGGAAACAATGGCTAAGGAGAAAAAGGAGAAACGTAAGTCATTATCCCCACAGGCAAGCAAGGGTGGAGCTGGGTGACCTTGTTCGGGCCAGCAGTTGAGGATCTGGGTGAGCTGGTTTAAGCCTGCAGTGGGTGAGCTGGGTGAGCTTTTTTGGCTGGCAGGCGTGGATCTGGGTGAGCTAGTTTTGGCCAGGAGTGGTGGAGCTGGGTGAGTTGATTTTGTTGTGGAGCTGGGTGAGCTTTTTGGCCACAGAGGGTGGAGCTGGGTGTGCTGGTTTGGGCCAGGGAGGGTGGATCTGGGTGAGCTGGGTGAGCTGGTTTGGGCCAGGGGGAGGGGGAGCTGGGTGAGTTGGTTTGGGCCAAGTGCTGGATCTGGGTGAGCAGTGGAGAACTAGTGGGGGTGGAGCTGGGTGAGCTGGGGAGAACTAGAAGGGGGGAAGCTGGGTGGGCTAGTTTGGGCCACAGAGGGTGGAGCTGGGTGTGCTGGTTTTGGCCAGCAGCAGTTGAGATGGGTGAGCTGGTTTGGGTCAGCACTGGAGGATTTAGGTGAGCTGGTTTGGGCCAGCAGTGGGTGAGCTGTTCTGGCCAGTAGTGGGGGAGCTGGGTGAGCTGAATTTGGCCAGCAGTGGGTGAGCTGGGTGAGCTGTTTTGGCCAAGGAGCGGGGGAGCTGGGTGCGCAGATTTGGGCCAGGGATGGTGGAGCTGGTTGAGCTGGGTTGAGCTAGGTTTGGGCACACGGGTGGGAGCTGGGTGGAGCCGGGTTGGACTATCATGGGTGAGAGCTGGGGGAGTTACTTTTGGCCCGCGTAAGTGAGCTGGGGTAACCTGTATGGGTCACAAACGTGGAGCTGGGTGACCTGGTTTTGGCCCGCAAGGGTGAAATCTGGGAAACTAATTTCTTGGGGAA